CCGCTCTTTGGCAAGGCTTGGTCTGCATCCCGAGCTTTTGCAAGGTGAATTTGTTGCCTAACAGCACTACAAAAGTCCTGTCCTCTAGATGCCACTGTTCCTCCAGTAAGACTCTCGTGTATGTGCCGTTGCGTCAACAGTTCGGGACTTTCATTGGTTTTCACTTACGTTCAAGGAAGCGATGGGGTTTAAGGTCTCTCAGAGTGCTACAAATGGGGTTTGTAATAGATGTAAACCCCGCCTTTGCCAGTCCCCCTCAGGTCCCCCTTGTCTGCCTGATCCAGGCCACAGATCTGCAGCTCTCCTAAGTTTTTAGCCTAATTTTCAGCCCCTATCCTGCCTATGTCTGCACCAGCCCTTTTGCAGTTTTGCTGGCATCACACGCTCTCTCTCCTCTGTGGCCCAACTGGAAGACGAGAGCACCAGCAACTCTCCCAGCAGAGAGAAACCTGCCAGAAGTCTACCTAGCCGTTAAATCGCTTCAAGGAAAGCGTACCGAGGTCCTGAGGGCACGTAACAAAAGGCGGCACCGGGATGCCAGCAAGCTGCTCATGTAGACTTCTCTGACTCTTAGGTGTTCTGACTTCTTATCGTGCCGTGTTCTGGTTAAGAAAGATACTATTAACATTAAAGGGGACCCATGTTAAACAGATTCAGAATTAGCCAGTTGATGGACCTCAGAAAAGCAATCGCTGCTAACGGGTAACCATGATGTTGCTCTGCAGGGAGGTCTTGGCTCAAATCTACAAGTACCCTGCCATGTTGTGACACGGAGAGATGAAGGCTCATGATCACGAGCCTTATGGACACAAATAACTCTGCAATAAATACCTCAGTCCGAAACCTTCCACTCTGTCCTCTAGAGAAGGGGGCTTTGGCTACAAACTTGGAATTACTGTTTTGTTATTACAGTCACTGAAAGGAAAAATAAATCCTGGAGTCAGAGACAGCTCCGTTAAAGCAGATGGATTTAAAATCACCTACCAAAGAAGCTTTGAAACTGGCCGGACTAGAGAAATGCATCAAGAGAAGCCAAGCAACACACTTGGGGGGCAACTGGGGACGTTTTATGGAGTCACAAAAGGCAGCTGCCTCCTGCAGGGAGTCCCGCTGTAGGAGCTATACGTACCTGGCTGCCCAATACCTGCTTCTCAGCCTTCAGATCTTCTCGTAACAGTTCAAGCTCAGATGCAAGTTGCTTTCTCCGTTCTCTCCGCTCTCCCAGCTGACTTCCCAACTTTTCTATCGTTTCCTGACAGCTTTCCAGCATCTGGAACAAGCAAAATTAAGAGTCACTTCTACAGCATCATTTATTCTAGCAAAAGAGAAACAAATTGCAGAAAACATGTCTTCCAGAAAACAAGGATAGGAAAAACAGTTCTCAAAAGTTGCCAGCAGGATTCCTGCACCTTATAGCCAGGGCTGGCTGGGCATCTCTGAAGGCCTGGAGCCTCCACCTGACCCAAGACACCTTGGGAGGGTCTGCTCCCGCATGTAATGAGCTCTGTCTGGCTTATACACCTGGCAGATCCACTTGTCTGGCTGGCAAGTAACAAACCGACAGCAAAGTCAGCCCAAAACCAGCTGGGAAACAGCCTTGTACACATACCTACGTGCCACGGAGGTTCCACTAAACCCTAAGCAAGAGTCAAGCACCTTTGCATGTGTAAACCCTTCGCTCTCACCAGGGAGCCAACAAGCTCCGCAGTGCTGAAGGCAAGACAATCTCACAAGAGAGATGAGTTATCAGGGAGATAACATTGGCATGTTAGCTGCTTTCCTCCAAAAGCATGAGCGGGTGGCCTACAAGTTCTTGCATGAGCGGGTCTTGCATGAGCGGGTGGCCTACAAGTTCTCAGAAGATGGTGGCAAAGAGCATTCACAGGAGGCGCTCATTTAGTACATTTCGAAACAAAACAATTTCTCTCCCAAGGCAAACCTCTTACCTCTTGCATCTCTTGTGCTCCAGACGATGCCTGCTCTTCCCCACTCATCTCAGTTTTGTTCTTCTGCACTTCGAGTAACTCTGTTTCTAAACTTGTGATCTTAACATAGACAAACCGCAAGTTAAAACCAAACCAGTACTCACCACTAGTACTAAATGCACAACTACCACTACATTGCTCCTTCTGCTGCTGTTAGAGAATAAGCCCCATGTTTGGAAACGAGGAGGAGGAGGGGACGTGGACAGCCGCCAGCGTGGGCTAGCTCCAGCTCACGTCTTTCATCCCATTGCTTCAAAGGGTGAAGGAACCATCCAAGGCCAAGTCCAAAAATGAAAGAACCCTGCTCCACAAAAGGAGAGAAACGACCCAGGCATATGGTGAAAATTCAAGGCCTCCACAGCTTGTGGGCCTTCTACGTGCTGCTCTCCCACCACGGAGGACCCCACGAGACCCTGATTTATATCACGGGCCATCCTCCTTTCCCATGCTCTTGCAGCGCTCGCTCCCCTACAGCTGGTCTCATCCAAGCAGACGTTGGACCCAGTCCACCAGGACTTGTCCTGGTCCCTCCACCACCCAAAGGAGGTTGTAACTCCCTCCTGCAAGGCTCCGAGGACGCCAGACTTGAGCCAGCAAAACGCTGACCTCTGTACTTCTCCTGGCAGAAAAGAGGTTGGACAAGCACTCCCTCCGCATTTGCACCATTCCCCCCGAGGCATCTAGCCTTGGGAGGGATCTCGTGGGAATGATTATCGGTCCTGCAGTTTTAAAGGGCTTAAAGGAGACAGGAGCAGTCCAGCTTCTCCTCCCAATTACGGTTCCTGCAGACACTTTTTCAAAATCTAAGTCTTGGCACTCACAACCCCTCTGCTCCGCTGCCAGCCGGCATGGCGTTCAGCAGCCTTTCCTTTCAGCTCCTTACGCTCAGAAGAAAGTTTGTGCTGGTTTTCTTATTTCTAAACCACCACGCTGGCCTTCCCACTGCCCGAGCTGGGCTTTCACCGAACGAGGCGGCAGAGCAAGTGGTGACACTGGAAGGAGATGAAGTCCAGCTGCAGATGCCGTCCAGCCTCATCTGTACCCGGCACACCCCATACCCATCCAAGCAACACCCGTCGCCCCACTCATACAGATGAGTGCACGGTGAAGCACGTAAGATGCCTTATGCCTTTCTCACACTCCTTTCTTTGCACTTATTCAGAGATCATCTTTCATTCCTTTCCAATGGGAAGCGAAAGCCAAAGAAGTGCCAAGTCTCTGCCAATCCCAGTCCATTTAAAGCGATTACAAAGCAGCATGTCAAAGCCCGGGAGCTTTGCTTTCACTGGCAGCCTTCAGGCACAAGATGGCTCTCTTGAAGCTCCCAGCAGCGAATGATCTCTAACAGAGGAAAGCTGCTGTGATACTGTTCTTTAAGACAGATGCCGTTACCCAGGCTGGGTGTTCAAAGGACATGAGTGGGGTGAAACACCCAGGCCTCTTACAGGAGAGCTAGAGGGCAATAAACCCCCCTCCTCTTGCACGACTAGATGATAGTTTGGAGTTCAG